ACTATGGAGTTCACCATAATCTATAAACAATGAAAAAGTAATATTAATCGAAAGAATTTTTGAAAATAAACACTATTGTTATAGCAGTAGTATTTTCAATATTACTATGTGAAAGATCAAGTATAACAGTTTCCATACTACATAAAGTGGTAGATATTTGAAATTATTAAAATAAAGTATATTTCTGGTATAATTTATTTAAAACAAATATAATATTATACATAAATATTTTTATTTTCAAATATTAGATAATATATCATTATTTATATTAATGATTATAGACTGTAATTTCTATCATGTCATATTATTGATTATGACAAACATTTTAAAATTGATATTAGAACATGTATGGCTATAAAATTAAGGTAGAAATTTTAAGTAAAAACTACTGTTTTGGCATTACTAAAATTTAAACCAATTATTATTTAGGCATACTTTTTGTAATTTTAATAATTTTCACTATCTGCCAATGTTTTAAGGTAGGTATTAGATAAATAATTGCTTAAAATATTTATCAATAATAATTATTTAGTTTTAAGATAAAATGTTAGATATAAGTACCTAGTATTTATTAGTATTGTACAAAGAATTTTAATTTTAAAGTGTTAAGATTTAAAATACAAAAAAAATATCAATATATATATATATATTTACTTGGTCGTTCAAATTAATTAATGAACAATGTTAAAATTATAATTGAAATAATTAAACTTTAAAATTATACATAAATTGTAACATATTCTATCAATTTAATAATAACATTCATTTTAAAATAATTTTGGTATAAGTGTAGGTAAAAACATTAAATTACCTTATACATTTTACATAGTAAAAATGGTGGGTGAAGTTACATATATTGCACCAGTACTAGATTCAAATTTTAAAGATGGCATATTAACCTTTTTTTTAAAAGCTAACTTATACATTCATGTGATATACTTTATACTTAAATACCTACAAATATATACAATTTTATTTAAATATTGTTTAATTTAATTTTTTTATAGTAAATTTAGTAATCTTTATAGAATTTCAGAATGTTTTAAACTTTACTAACTACTTCTCTATAGTAAATAAACTTCCAAATTACTAAGGAAAATAATTTTTTTTTTTGTTTATTTAAAAAAAAAAAAAAAAACTATCGACTTACGTTTAATTGCGCCATAATAAAACTAAATAAAAATGTACGATTAGAGCGTTATAATTCTTGTATGGTATTATAAAATAAATTATTATTCAATTTATGAAATTACAGTTAAATAATTAAATAAACAGAAAAAACTAAAAACTATATAGGTACCTACCATTGATATAATATACCTATATTGGCTATATTATATTATATTTGTAATACACAATTACTTGATAGTTGATAATAAATAATAATATCAGTTGAATATTTTTTTGGTTGATATGAGATAAATACGGGTTGTTTTCAAGGTCACATATCTGAAGTTAGAACCACAATATTTTTTAATTTAATAGTTTGAATTGTACATACCTTCACGTGATTATTATTGATTTTATGTAATTATATAATATATATATTATATATCATTTTGAGTCCATACCATAGGTAATGATAGTGTCTTATTAGTCATTAATCATTTGGATTTAGTCTAAAAAGTTTCTTTCGTTAACTACCCTTTATTTTCAAATCTCGTTATCGTCAAACGTTCACGTATAAATATTTCCTGATTTATATTAATAAATTATTCAAGTAAGTTATTAATGCATTGAAAGTAAACAAGAAAATATTTCTTAAATATGTGCCTTTTAAGTTTTCAGCTATGGCCGCCACAGTTGAACCAATTCCTGATGTCGAAATGATGGACGTATCAGGTTTGCAAAAAACAATAGATATTGCGGTTATCCAAGAAATAAGGGACAACATTCGACAAATTGAGAAGGCCATTCAAACGAAAGAAGCACGTTTCGTGTTGCGCGTCTTTCGATCGTGGACAGTCACCCGGCGCAAGCTCAATTCTGTGGTCTTGTGGTCTGTCATTAATGGTTTCTATACACACTCCGCATCTGAAAAAGACCTATTATGGTCATATGTTACTACACCGACTCAACTACCAGAAGTAATCAAAATGCGCTCAGGTAAAAACGCTACAGGGATATTACTTCCTGAAATTGACAGTTATATCCACTTGTTAGTGTTAGTACAACTTATTGATAACAAAGATTACAAAAAAGCAGTAGAATTTTCTAATTTATTAATGGCTAAAATAATCAACACAAAAAGATTTATCATGGATTTGATTACTGCTAAAGTATATTACTATCATATGAGATGTTATGAACTAACAGATCAATTACATAAGATTAAGGGGTTCCTTTTTAGACGCTTGACAACAGCCACGCTTAAAAAAGATTACCAAGGACAAGCCGTGCTCATAAACTGTTTGTTGCGTAATTATTTGCACTACAAGCTATACGACCAAGCAGATAAGTTAATTCAAAAATCAGTTTTTCCGGAACAAGCAAGTAATAATGAATGTGCTCGTTTCTTATACTACCAAGGTCGTATTAAGGCTACCCGTCTTGAATATTCCGTAGCACATAAAAATTTAGCTGAAGCTTTGCGGAAAGCACCACAAAATGCAGTTGGCTTCAGACAGACAGCACAGAAGTTTGCCATCGTAGTGGAATTACTGTTAGGAGACATCCCCGAAAGGAATATATTCCGTCAACCTAGTTTGCATAAGACATTAGTACCATACTTCAGACTTACCCAATCAGTCCGTTTAGGAGACATAACAATGTTTAGTGAAGTGTTGGAGAACTTTAAAGAAAATTTCTTTAATGACCACACTTATATGTTGATTGTACGTTTACGTCATAATGTCATTAGAAATGCCATTAGAACTATTTGCGCATCATATTCGCGCATTTCAGTCGATTATATTGCTGAAAAGCTCGGGTTGGATTCTCCCGAAGATGCTGAATTTATTGTTTCCAAAGCCATTAAAGATAATGTTATACAAGCAACCATTGATTCTGATCACGGGTATGTGATCTGCAAAGAACCCGTTGACATATACTGCACACACGAACCCCACATAGCTTTCAATCAACGTATATCCTTCTCTTTGGATTTGCACAATAAAGTTGTAAAGGCCATGAGTTTTCCTCATAAATCATATGGCGAAGATTTGGAGATAGTCAAGGAACGTCGTGAACGCGAACAACAAGATATAGAACTAGCAAAAGAGATGGCAGAAGATGACGATGCATTCCTTGACTAAAAATTTAAAATGGTAATGACAATTGTATCAATAATCGAGTCTTTTTTTAAAATCTGTAATTTCAGTATTAAGGTCTAATTATAATTTATATACTATTCACAATTTAAGAGTATATTTAGGTATTGTAATATGTTTAAAATTAAAACTCATGATTTAATTAAAGCCACACTAGACATAAATAATAATTATATGTTCTTTATAAAGATTTTAGTTTGATTCGAATTTCTCTTATTAGAAACAGTTCAATGTGTGTAGTAATTTTATTCTCATTTATAGATATGAGTAGGTATATGAATATATAGTATTTATAATAATTTTTCAAATTTGAGTTTATGTACATTAACAGCCCAATTTTTCTATTAACCAGATCTCATGTGATTTTTGGTTTCAAATAATATAATCAATACATAATATTATAATATAATATAATATATTAACATATTATTTATTGAAGTAACTGAATAAATTGTATTTTAAATTGTACTAAGATTTTATTTTCATTTTCATTTTTGAACTCTACTTTACTTATTATTTTTGTGGTTTATTACAATTATACTATACTTATATACCTGATTAAAAGTAGTAACAAACTTTATTTTCGGTATAATAAAATAACCATTATAGTCATACTCTTACGGATATTACAGTAGTAATTAATTTGAATTATTTACAAGATGTAACAGAAAGAATTGATAAATGAAATAACTCTTTTTCTTATAAATATTTTTAAATAATTTATAAACACTTACGTTAAATTGATGGTACAATATTTTTTAGTTGAAATTTAATCATACATACACCATAATTTACTGTTGATACTTGTTTGTATTATTTAATATTTTTATAATTGTAGTACATAATATAGTTAGAAATAAGATTTTCTTTTATAACAGTTTTTTTACTTTTGATGAATTCTTATAGCACTTTCAAAAATGATGTAACTTTGGAGAACTTCAATTTTTCAGCAATTAAATGGAAAAAAATAAAAATAATGTTAACAAGCATAATTAAGAGTTTTAAAATTTTCAGTATATCATAGGCTAAATACAAAAATCAAAAATTGATAGTAGTCAAGTGTATAAAATAAGTTGGACTATTATGAGGATAAAAAATATTTTAAAATGTATTACCTCCTAAAAATTCTCCAAAAGTATTTTTTAAATAATCAGTTCAACTTGTTTTCACTATAATAATTTTTCTAAAAATTAAATATACAATTTAATCATATTGAATATTAAAAAAAAAAAAAAAAAAAAATTAAATCAAAATTTGTACCTCAAATGTTGCTTAAGAATCATATCATATGCAATAAAAAAAGCTTTTAAATATGTATTAGCACATAATAGTTGTTTCTTTTGTCAATTCTTTCAATGTCAAGTATATGATGGTATATAAAGTATTTTAATGTATTTATAAATTTATTTTAATTTAATTATTTTCGTAGTCAAGTACCCAAATTCATGTACAAAATATTGTTTATAATAAGTATCTTTTAAAATACTGATTTTAGGTATTCAATTGGATATTAAATATTTATATTTTTTGTGTTCATAAAAACAAATCATTTAACTGTAATAACATAATTAATATTTTTATTTTTTCAATTAATCTTGGCGTTCAGTAACTGTTCCTGTTTTAAAAATAAGCTGGTAAAAATGATATTATATTAAAAAAAATATCATAACTCAACTCTTTAATTTAATCCATAAAGTTATGATATTTTCTAGTTTTTAAATCAATGTTATTTTAAATCACAACGGTTTCCTTGCACCAAGGTGAATTAGACAAATTATACATATACTTATTAAAATTGTGTTTAAATCCTCATCAATATAAGCATTGAAGTACCTGTACTTGTATAAAATTATTTGTTAATTTAAGTTTTAAATTTGTGCTGTATAATTATATTAATAGTTCAATTTTAATTACTTTAAGTTTGTATCAATTTAATAATGATTCGGTGCCAAACATATTTTGTTTATGTAAGACATTTTTAAATACATGATATATCAAAATAAAATCATAATCTTTAAAATGGTGGTAAAAATATTCTTCATTAATCTTTGTTTAATTTAGGTTGTTAATTTTAACCTAATTGCGTATAGGTTAATACAAACATGGTATTTTCTATTGTAAAGTACTTAATTTTTACTTATACATGTTTTTTTTTTTAACAAATTAGAGTATTTAAAAGGAACAATTAAATATGTTTTTCGTCTTTCTAGATAGTCTTATACAAATGAATAGAATATACGATAATAGATACTTGATGGAAATAAAAATATTTATGTTTTTTATAATAATCCATTTACTTTTAATACTATTAAGTATATATCTATTTCATATACTTTCAAAAATTATATCTCAACATTTTTAATTATGATAGTAAATTAAAATAATTTAATTTTTTTGAAGCTAATCATTTATAATAAATTAACAAAACCATTACAATTATTGCAGTCTTTTTAAATTTATTCAAATACTCCTTGTAAGATGTAAGTAAAAAACACTTAACGTGATACCAAACTATTGATTATATGTTTAATAATTAATATTGGTTTTTTACAGTAATTATATACTACATTTGAGCATATAAAATATTAAAAATTATCATAAGTCGTTGAAAAATTATAGTTAGTTCTATAAAAGGCTAAAAAAGCGGTGTCATTTGGACAGCACAGGGTAAACGTTTGCGTATTTAAAACCCAATATTTTTGTAATTTGGTCCACTTTACTAATTGATTGGTCTGAATAATTGATAATGACTTGCGCTTAACTAGTTAATATATTTTATTTTTTTTTCTTCTGGATTAAAAGTAAAAACATGGGTCATATAAAATGGCTCTAAAGGACATTAAAAAAAAATTGTTTACTCAAAATCTAAAAAAAAGGTTTAAGTTAATTATTGTAAATATAGTAACATCTACTATTAGATAGATTAATAAAATTAATATTTGAAAATATGAGAATTATTTTATTTTTGTTGTGTTGAAAATTCTATCTAGGCTTAAAGGCTCTATACGCTATGCGTATTAAAAAAAAAAAAAAAAAAAAAAAATAATAAAATGATGCCACTTGGCTAAAGAGTAATACAAGTATGGTAAGGCTACAAAGTAGTATGTTAAATTTATATATTTTGACCATTATAAAAAAGTCAAAACATAATAAAAAATTTACTTAGGAATTAAAATTTTATAAAATAGAATACAAATTTGTAAGTAAGAGAGGAGTTCACATTTTTCAATATCATAACAAAATAAAATATTCATTAATAAGGTGAGCAAAAAATAATATAAAACTATGTGAAGACATTTTTTTTATAAACAGGACATAATAAAACTTTGAAATTAATTATTGAGAGGACAAAATATTAACGTCTTATAGGAAATGAAATATTACGATGGTCAGTCAAAAAGAACAAATTAAATTTATATATATGGGAAGTATAATCACGAAGAAGACAAAACATTTTTTTAGTATAGTAAAATAAATTAAGGAATTTTTACAAATGTTAAGTACACAAATTACTAGTGTTGTAAATTTTGCTATGAGATGACAAATGCAAAAGTGATGTTTATAACTAAAATAACCTAACTTAACTTCAAATCAAAATTTTAATTGAATTTGTAAAAAAAATGTTGGTCTAAAATGTTAAAATCAGTTTGATATTTCTTATTAATAATTGGCGTTGGTTGGTATTAATCCATGATACTAAAACATTTAAACATTTTATTAAATTTTAATATTTTATTTTTTTAATTGACCAGAATTTATTTTAAATGCAATTGTTATTAATCAATCAACATACTCATCAGAACCATTAAGAGTTTTGATAAATTATTTAAATGCCTGTTACTTACGAAAAAAAAGTAAATAATATATTAAACTTTATAATAATCGCATAGATTTTATTCTGTTTAAGGCAATCAATTAATTCAGGTAAATGAGTATTGTGACATATAAACAACAAATGTACTCTTATAATATAGTAAAATTATATGAATTAAAAGGTACCTATTTAAAATAAAATACAATAATAATAACAAACGTTAAATAATAAATAGTTATGTTATACTTAAAAATAAAAATATAAAGTTAAAAACATAAATAATAATACTTTAAGTAACGAGATTTTGAGCAAAACTAAATTGCAAAATTAAATTAAAATATCTGTCTAGAACATAAAATATTGCGATTAGTTTACATTATATATGAACAATTTTTTAAGCTATTATTTAATAAGATAAATTTACTGGCAAGATAATGACATATAATAAATGTGTTATTTTTAATAAAAAAACTACCGATATTTATCTACTAATCCTACTGTTTTTTTACAATCTTATTTTTCCTGACAAAATATCTGAATAAGTTTCACTAGTCAATTCTTGGTAAATACCCTTGTTATTGTAGAAATAAAGTTGATCCTTAACCCGTGTAATATCATATCCATCTCTTTGTAAGTCTAATTTTTTCAATTTATATGTACCTGAAACAGTAATAAATAAATTTAGTCATTGTTTTGGTCAATTAATGCTGGACAAAATAATAGTTTACCAGTCATTTCAACTTCATTGAGTTTTCTTATGAACAATGGCCGTGCGTAATTTGGCAGAGCTTTTTGTAATCCAGCTGATAAAGTAGATACATCTAAAGTATTATCTTTGTCTACAATAGCAGCCATACCAGCACGTCCTTCAGAATTAGGCACCTGGATAAAAAATAATATAAAAATAACAAATTTATGATAATTAGTATTGATCATGTTAAATATTAATAGTAAAAAATACTTACTTCCACTCCATAGACAACACAATCACGATAACCAGCAATATTACTAACAACTCCTTCAACTTCAGCTGTAGAAACATTTTCACCTTTCCATCTGTAACAATCATCAAATCAAATTAATTATTATTATTTATTTTTTTTATTTATGAAATAGCTTAGCCAATTATATAATTAAAAATTATTCAATTTTAGTTATATACAAAAAAAAAAAAAAAAAAAACTGCCAAACATGTTGAATGACTTTATTGAAACTCTTCAAACAATTGCAATATCAATATTTTGAAAAAATTTATGTGCATTTGTTAGTACTATTTGTTTACTATTTCCAAACTTCAATATTACAATTGTTTCGGCATAAATCTAAAAAACACCACACACACACACACACACACACACACACCAGTTACTCAATTATTTGTTCTAAATTGAATGTGTCTAAATGTTGTGAATGATCTCTTGAATAACAAAATGGTTATAATTATAATAATTAGTACCAGTGTGATAATGTGTTGGTAGTTCTGAAAGATCCTGTTCAAATTAGTTTTATCAAAACACAACTTAAAAGGAAAAAATGTTGTGAACTATTTGGATAATATTTTTGCATGACATTATTAAGTGTACGAAACTGTCAGAATCAATTTATACATTTTTTAAATAGAATTTTCTTTTAGACAGACTGTTGGAATGGTAAAATAACTAATTTAAAAAAAAAAATTTATTTTATGTTCATATTATATTAATTATTCACATATATTTTTTAACATACATTATTTCACATTGTTAAATTTTATTTTCATAGTTAATGAAATTATTTATTATTTTTTTTTCATTTTATATTTTTTTACCTAGTACCTATATATACTTATTTAAAATTTATCTTTTTTCATGATTTTCAAATATCATAGTTTTCATAAAATTGAATCTAGACATTTGTTCAGTTAGATAATTTTTTATATTCTCTTAAATGAATAAAATTTTTTTTTTATAAGTACATGATTATAAATTCAAATTAATATTTTTGTTTGTATTTTATTTTTTTTAAAAATTTCTACGAGAGATTAAATGTCAGGGTGAGTTGTATAAAAACACAAATTAACTTGAAATAGAAGCTCTTGCACTCATTTGTACTTGATTGTCTTGACCCATTGGCCATTACACTATTGCTCATTTTTGCCTTTTTTTTATGTAAAGATTAAGGAGAGAAGTAGTATAATTTTATCAAAGATAACATAACGGGCGCACTTGGAATATACCAAAATTATTGGCAATAGGTACTATCGCAGACGTACTTAGTCATTAAAAAAGGTACAATATATATATAACTGGATGCATTTGAACGATGTCTGTCTCACAAGTCCATCCTCGTCTATCCATCCTCTCCCGAAAATAGTTATCTGCGCTTGTATCAGATGTAAGTGTTTACCTGAATGTATCTCCGGTTCTGTCTTTGAAGTAAAGGTAGCCCCATTCGTCAGCCACGAGCAAATCGCCAGACAGGAAGGCGGCGTCTCCTTTATCAAACACGTCTCGCACAACTTTTTTCGCCGATTCTTCGTTGTTGACGTAGCCCAAGAACTGTCTGGACGGGTTGGTTGCGATAATTTTTCCGACAATTACACCCGGCTCACCTGAAAGAATTTCGATGTCACTGATGATGATCTTATATTATATATAACAGAGTAATTATTTAGACAAATCATTTCATTTCTTATTCGTATTTTGGTCAAATGTGTTTTCAAATAACATAGTCAGTGGCATTACTTTACAACTATAAGAAATTTTTTGAAATAAAAATCATTGTTATTAAGATGACGATTATAGGTGATTGTTTTATAATTAAATGTTAGCCCTTATCTTTAACTTCAAAATATAAATAAAAAAAATATGTTTTAGGTTAAGTATTGAATTTTTATCACATTCATATTTTATAAACGTATATTAGATTTGGATAAACATGGAAACGTACTAGTGAACTAAAAATACTATTGGGTATCTAAACCTTTAGGGCTTACATGTAATGATAAGAAAAATGATCTGTTTAATATTCAGTATCATATTCATTTATATACATGATACATCAACAGTTTTAAAAATGTATTCTACTATTATTTCTATTATAGATTAAACAAGATAAAAAATACAGGATTTCAGAAGTATATTGTATAAGTACGGTACCTATTTCAAAGTCTGAACTTTGGAAAAATATGTTTTTGAAAAACATCGCACTAAACTGAAACGAAGAGTGGTTTTTTAACGACTATCTATTATGTAAATATGTAATAGTAAGTAGTTTAATGTGGTTTAGTATTTAATACAAGTGTAACAAAAACACAAATTAAATAGTTGTAAATGAAGTAGACATAAAATACATGGTTATGAAAGCGGAAGAGCTGGTCTACTAGCTCGAGCCACTGCTGACTCGTCTATACCTGGGTTGCATCGAGTGCAAAGTCCCTCAGCGTTTCGGATGGGTTCGCATGTCTCTGGGTTTACCCGTATAATCGATATAGGGTATATGCTGGGTATCAGTCTAGACACGAAACCGATAGCTCCGAACGTGTTGTCCGTATTTGCTGCAAACAAAGAAAACAATAAACATTATAATATATTTACATAAACATGACTATAACACTGGTAGCGGTGATGCTGTGTGCGTGTGTGAAGAAGGGGTTGTTACGGGAGAGGTCTAAATATACAGATCGAAACTACAAACGTGACTGGCTAAACATTGAATAATACTTAAGATAAATATGTTATATTCATTATTCATGCACACAGACTCATGTCATAATAAACTAATATCTAATTTACATACAGTCGACTAGAGTAGTGGGATTCGTACCAGTTAATAATTTCGTGAATCTTAATAAATTAACATAATATATCATAATATATGTGTTTATTTTAAGTCAGATCGGTTATCACTGTAGTTTCAATTCAGACAAAAGCAGAGTTATTCAGGCTGTAGTGTATAATGCAGAGCGCAGGTATGTAAATGTATAGTAAAAATTTGTATTTTAACACATATAATAAAATTGTAATGTGAACCGCTGCCAATTTCAAATGTTTATATGAGCACTTATAGAGATAGGATATTACGCACAATAATTAATATTGATCTTAAAATAAAAATTTTGTAATTACTTAATGTGTATAAATCTCAAGACAATCATTTTAAAAGTCAAATTATAACATTGGCCATCGTGATAGTTACTAAATATTTCTCATTTTATAAAACCAATTATTTGACTACCAATAACACTTATAAGTTTTTATTAATTTATTATACATAGTATGGAATGTTAACATTTAATTTTAATGTAATTAAAATCAATCTTAATATTTTGATTCAAAGTAGAGTCTCGTATTGGTTTCATAATGATGTGTTTATGTGCATGTGTTTTTTTTTTTTTATATGTTTTAGAGCAAATAATTTGATTTCATATTCAAAATTAAGTTTTTTGTTAGGACATTTTCGCAACACCAATTTTTAACAAAATAAATTTTGTTTTTATGTTTTAGTTAAGAAAAGAATAAATTTAGAAATTTAAAAATCTCACCAAATATTTATATTAGCATTAAATAATTAAAAAAATATTTTGAATATTTTTTTTAGCTATTTATACCTATGAGCATTTGAAAATTTTAACTTTTCAATTACTAATGTCAATGTTACTTATTTTACTGGAAAAATGCTTGATATTTAAATATAAAGTTTTTTATAAACTTTTAGTGAAAATATCGAAAAAAATTTAAAAACAATTCCTACTAAAATTTCTAAAGTTTAAACTCTGAACTTTGAAGTTCAAATTTTGAAAATACTGGATATATTTAAATTTATGATTTGACAATATTCAACACTATTTTTTCTAATTATTTTAGGTTTTTTAGTTGTGATTCAATAAATATATATCTTAGAGAATTTTAGCGTTTTACTTGTCTATTATAATTTTATATATGCAGTGCAATTTTTAAAATATGTCAGACGTGTTATTAATTTTTTTATTTTTAATAACACATTTTTTTGTGATACATTGCAAAAGTTGTCACAGAGTTCGTTTCCGTGGAAGATAAAAATTATCGAATGAGCTTACCGATATTTGCATTTCCTTCTGTTGATCCATAAAACTCTGCAACCCGTGGTACGTTGAATCTGGACACGAATTCTTTCCATATCTGAGGTTTCAGTCCGTTTCCAAATATGATTCTCAACTTGTGGTTAGTATCATCAGCTTTGGGCGGAGTGGCTAAAATGTAACGACACATTTCACCGATGTACTGACCCGCCTGTAGTTTAACGGACATGTTAAAATTAATGTTTCGTTTATGAAAGCCTAACAAGGATAGAAGTATTGGATAGTATAGTCAGAGCCGATGCTAATAAATATTTGTAATGGATCGTGAATAATAACATTTAAGACTTAATTTTATTCAATTTTAATAATGAAATTTGATTTTGCTGCGCTCGAAATTTATAGTTAATTTTATTATAATTCTATATTAAATGTGTTTCACTTTATAAAAATTCATTTAGACCCTTCTTTTGACTTTCAATGCGGTTAAAACTTTAGACTGCATACCCATCATCAAGACTTATCACGCTATCCATAATATTTAATGGACAAATTAGGAATTGCATTTTTAAAATATTTACATAAATTAGCATTTAATGTCTCAGGTTTTTAGAACAAGTATACTCTTGTTTCGAAATTAGGTAAAGTAACAAAAAATGCTATATGAATCATAAGAATTTTTGCAGTAGGTAGGTAACAATTTTCAAAAAATTTATTTTAAAATTTTATATTGATAGGGAAAAAATGTATTATCAAGGACAAATACGACGTCACTTTAAACATAATAATAAATTTATATACAATACAAAACAATAACTTACGGTGCAATTAAATTTAGAAATATCTTGGAAGTATCCGGAAGCAGAAAACTTTTTCCGTATAACCGTGGTACAACCGTAAAGTAGTGATTGGCCGATGCACATTATGCCGGCGGCGGTGTGGTACAACGGCAAAGGCGTGTAAAACCGATCGCTATATTTGAGGCCCACTTGATACGCATAAGCACCAGCGATGAAAATATATCTAAACAAGAACAAAAAAACTTAAAAATTTATATTGGTTGATATTACATGCAAAGGCAGTAGTTAAAATTAAATTTGCTTATACAATTTAAAATTTAATTTGTGCAGGTAGAAATCTAGACTATTAACTGTTTTATTTTTTATCCTCTGTGGTTTTTTTTTTTTTTATTAGCTATTCATTTTGTGAAAAACTACTAAAATAATTAAATTGATGATAATCGTGTGTTTGATTTCTAATCGAATGAATGGAGGTAATACATATACATTTTGGATTAGTTAATTTCTACTGGAGAAAAAGATGACAGTCAATAAAAATAATATTGTATAACCATCACACGCCACTTAAAATATAAAATGTTTATTAAAGTTGTTTTTTTTTTTTTTTTTAATGCATAAAATCATAATCACATTTTTACTAAATATATATTTATGTAGTTTTTGTGGTCCCTTTATTTTTATAAATTAAGTTAAATAATTATTTTAGTACCAATGCGTCATATAACTGCCACATTTTACATAAACAACTGTATGTATTAAAATAAAAAAAAATTAGTAATGAATGAAAAAAAAAAATGTAATCAAATTTAAATAGTAATAAATTATACAACTTTTAAAAATATTAATCATATTATTTTTGTTAATGTGATTTAGTTTTGTTATTAAAATTTGAATATTTTCTGCTTTTTGACGTGAAACAAAAAAAAATAATCTGATAGAACAAAAATAATACAATAGCAATTTAATCGAAAAAAAGCAAACTTTTAAAAACGAATATTTTTTCTTCATTTTTGTTAAACGTAATAAACGTTTAATTTTAATTCACAGGTCGAATTTTTACTATATTTAATAACTTATAAACTTTCGTATTTGCTTTTCCTTTAGTTTTACCCTGGGTGTAGATATTTTGTGCATATAAACATTAATGTAATTATAGTCATAAATCATAATAATAAAATATTAAATTCGTGAATTCAGTGACGCGTGCGAAGGTAGATCTGCGAGTTTGGAAGCTTAGTTTTTATTTTTTTATTGGTAAGTGGATTTTAGATAGGAGGTAGGTAGGTACACTAGGTACTAAGTACGCTTAAAGTAGATTGTATTGTCTTAGACTATTTAAGTTTAACATTTAGTTTGCAAAAACTCGATTTGTTTATTAATGAAAATATAACATTTGCATGAAAAGGGAGTCTTTTATCAATAAATTGGTGGGTTAGTGGGTTAAATAATTGTTTGTTATTTTGCATATATAACTTCGCGTCACCACTGAGTGAATCCATACAGACTCTGATGTAAAAATCACCCCAGAAATGTCGATTTTCGTTATACCTGACGTTGGTAATGATGGCTGCTTTCGGAAAACCTGTAGTACCAGATGTGTAAATATAAAGCAATTTGTCGTTGTAACCGGGTTTTTCTGGTGGATTGGGTGTGGACGGCGATGCTTTGTCCAGAATGTGGTTCAAGTAAGTATCGTCATTAGTGGGCGGCGGAGTGCTAGACCATTTAAACAATTTCATATCGTTGTCCAGATCATTTTTTATATCTTCGATGTCTGTAAAAAGTTTTTTATTAAATTTATCTTAATTTAGTATTAGAAAAAAAAATACCAATCAAAAAGTTATTATACTATGATTATACCACAATAGAAACAGTTTTAATAAAAATTATGTAATATCATCTAATTAGGACTAGGATTTATAAGCTGTATAAAATTAAAATATACATTTCATTTTATTAAAATATACAATGAATTTACTAAAATTTTTCAAAACTTAAGCGAAAGAGAATATTCTTGTAATTATAAAATAAATTGAAAAAAGTTACTTTTTATGCTAAATCAGTTATCGACAAAATTGATTTCTTTATTTTATTATAATTCAAAAATAAAATATTATAGAAACTTGAAATTTTTACTTACTATATTAGGTATAATATTCTATAAGTACGAGATATAGTTTAATAGGTATAATGTAACAAATTACATTTTTTCTTAATTATTTCATGTAGAGTATAAGTTTTATAAAAAACACACACTATCTGTGTATCTTATTAAAAGTTGCAATCAATTAGTTTATATCGTATAAAATGTATTGAGAATTGTGAAAACCCATGTCTGCCACCGTTTGTAATTATTAAAAGTTTTACATTTCATATTTAGAATTTAATGAAAATTATTAACCAATATTATTATTTGTGATGACTGTTTCACTTACTACGTTTACTTAAAATGACATAATATAGTAAAATATAGTATGTGATCTTCATACTATATCGAGTGTTTCATAGGTGTAAACTTAAATAATTTTTATTAATTTATTAATTGTATTATGTTGTTGCGCCGATGATAGGGAAGAGTTTAAGTGTTCACTAGTACTTGTAATCTCTAAATAAATAACCTTGAATAATTATTAACTTAATTTATATAAGTGAAATTTATTATTATCCAAAACTGTGTAATGATTATGTTAAATAATATTTAATCTTAAGTAAAAAATATGCTACCTATTAGAAAATAACAATAGAAATACAAGATTATAAATCATTACCTAAGTTACATATTAATTTTTTTTAAATCTAAGAGTAAAATAACGAAAAAATATAAAGTAAAATGTGAATTATTATATTAAATAAAATTATTATGACAATTTTATAATCAAACACATGGAATAGTAAAATAAAAAAAAAAGTTGAACCAAATATTCAATAAAATATAATTTTTATCAAATGGGAAATATTTTATAATTCAACTTTAAACGACTAAAATGATAACAATTCAAAAATAACTAATTAAGTATGTTGAATGCAGAACATTATTTTGATTAAAATTAAATTAAAAGTTTAAGCTACTTCTAGAAGAAAATATTAAAAAAAAAAAAAAAAACGGTTTTTGAACGCATTCAAGAAGAGGATTTTAATCCCGGAAGTGATGTTAAAACGAAATTATATAATATCCACAGGTGCTCTCGGCTTCCTTATTTAAGGATCAAGTTTCGTTATTTACTAGTAAAATACAATTACTTGTACATTTAAAATCGTTTCAACGTTACCAAATAAACGTAACTGTGGCTTTTATTCTTACCCGATGACAATTCGGCTCCGTAAATCAAACCAGCACAGTTGGCCACTTTGATGGAATGAATTAACGACACTAGCCTCTGATTGTAATTGATTAGCGCGGTTACAATGCCCACTTTGGACATGCCCAACCAAATGCCCACGAACTCAGGTCGGTTTTCCATCAGTAGTCCGATCACATCGCCCTTCTTGAAACCTTTCTCTAACATGGCGTTGGCCACTTTGTTACTGTATTCTTCAATCTGTTCCGACATGTTTTAATCATGTTAATACAACAAAAATATACAAATGAATTACAATCACATGAAAAAAGTTGCTGGGACGCATGTCTTTCAAAGTATAAATCTCAATTACAAATTCCGTATAGATTAGGCAGTAAATTTAGGTCGTGAATAAAAATAAAACATTCTTAATTTTGTGCTAATTCATCCATGTATAATTTAATTATATAAATATATATATAATATTTACAGTAGCAACTAGATGAAAAAAATTTTCATACGTATAAAAGTATTATCAAAATGTAAAATTTAATAACATTTTGGAAAATATTAAACTTATATTTGTGAATTTCTTTAAAACATTTAACTTTTTTGAAGGATTATTAAAATGTAATTTTTCAACGTCGTTACTTTGGCATCCATATTTGTCATTATGTGATTAAAGAGAACGGTTAGTAACCGCGAGTAGCAATATAATAATAATTGTTAAAATAAATAACCACAACTTATCGATGTACTTACTGACTAGTAAAAAAATACATTTATTTTTATTAAAAAGAGCTACCATTTATCTATATTTTCCAGAATACTTTTTATTTATTTATTTGAAATTTTAAATGTAACAATTTTTATAAACTATATTTTTATACAGAAAGATGTGATATATTATACAGTCTATTATTTAATATTCATCTAAACAAATAAAAAAACTTTAAGCAGAAAAAACATCTTATACTTTTGATGAGTTATGGATATAATTATATGCAATAAGAAACATGTTTTACCAAATCGGTTTAACTAGCTCCTATTAAGCTCCAAAGAGTCTAAAACGGGTTTGAATAATCGGGTAACCATGAAAAAAAACCAAGGTTTAGAATGAAAAACTGGTTTATATTTTCCAACAACAGCCTTTTTAAAATTTTTTATTATTCTATTTTTATTTCAATTACATAATATGAGTAAGGTATTTCTGATATTTAAGTATCAACTATGAAAACTATACAACAAACAAGTTTTATACTTGATTTAATTGTTTTATTTCCTTTTATATATTATACATACCTAGCCAACATATTTAAATTTATTAAAAGATTCAATTTTTAAGGAAATTTAACTTAGAAATCAAAAAAAAAAACATTTGTCTGTAAATTTATACCTTCCTACCGTTATTAATTGTTTTTGAAACAGTAAAATGTATACATTATTAATTATTAATTTTAATCGACACATTATATGTTAGGATAATATAAGTGGTATTAAATAGTACTTGGTAAACTATAAAGGATAGAGTACCTTTTAAGTACTATAGAAAAATTTAATAAACACTTCTTAACTTCTATGTACATATATTAGCTCAATACATTTGTAAACAAGAATAGAAATTATACTTTATTACATAAGAAATATTTCAACCTTGTAATATTGTACTTATTCTACTTTTTTAAATCATAAAATTATAAATTACAATATTTTATTTTTTATTTAATTTAAAATTTAATAATCCAAGTAAAAGTTTTTAATAAAAAATTTAAGTCAAATATGAACTTTAAAATCAATAATACGGTTATTAATTTCGTAACTTATAATACTATTTTAATAACAACAATAAAAGCCAGTAAAAATTCAAAGTACTAAATACAATATTACAAAACTTAATCTATAGGCGTCGTGCTTTAGTTTCGTGGGATGACTGAGTTATAGAAAACTCGGTACCCATGATTTGAACAAAAGACTTAGAGTTATCATTTAAAAATAAACCGACGCAGTTTGTATTCAAACCCGTACCGCATACAAGTTGTAACTTGTTTAATCAATGTATACGAATTCAAATGATGTAATAAATATATACTTTTATTATACGTTTTTAATTTATGGTTAAGTCATTAAATGTTAAAAATCGGGTATTAGCGTTGATAAAATATATATATATAGGAGTTAAATACGAATTTATCTATTCGTCTGAAGTAAGTTCTTTGATCTTTGAAAAATCAAATCAAACAGGCATGGGTAAAAAGATGTTCCTCGGGGCTCGGAGTTAACCAATTAATTTTATGAACAATATAACATTAAACAGATTTTTAATAATTGTTTTACTATTAAAATCTGTGGGACTTAAATAACTTTATAATACCTTTGTATAATATAATACGTGTGACTAAATTAATTTTCATCATTATATTGTGTAGGTAGTAGGTACTGCATGTTTCATAAAATTGGCATTAATTAAAACTGTCTGTGATGCATATTATTGGAGCAACGAAACAACGTAATTATAATTAAACTAAAATAAATAAATTATAACAAGATAAGTTGTTATATTTATATAACTGAAGAAACATTTTATGTAATATTATATACTTGACTAGTGTTTTATTCTATGATAGTGTCGTCGGAGTCCTTTTACAATTTATCAGAGACGATACTTCTTTCAGAGTCTATAAAATGACTGTACCTTTGTAGGCTCGTGAGATAGTTATACGATTATGTTATATGTATAGAAGATGACATTTTGCACAAACCTGCAGTGCAGTCCATTCTTTGTCTTCGAATACGAACAACACTTTAAACGGAGTATTCTTTACAACTTTGTGTTTGAATACATCTGCGACAGTCCAGTTTTTCTTACTCAATTTTTTTGCAGTGTACAAAAAGTAGTAATAACGACATAGTGCTCTGAAAAAAAAAGAAAAAAAAATCTATTAAAATAATACAATCTTAAATATACCATAAAATCACAATACAAGAAAAATCTTAGTTTTATACCAAAATAAATCGTTTGACGTGACTAAAATATTATTTCCGAGATCATATAAAATAAATTAACAGTACCGTAATCAGATATGATTTGTATTAATATATTTACTAATTTTTTTTACTAAATAAAACTAATAGGCACTTATTTTATAATTAATACATTTTTCGATGAAATAAAAATTCATGTTCGAGTGTTAAAAATTATTTTTTTTTTATAAAATATAGTAATCTTAATTAGTTTATTAATAAAAATCAAATAAATAGCTTTAAATGACAGAAATTAAAATTATACTAAATAAGTCACTATGAGGACAATAATAACAATCAAGTTAAAGTAACCTAACAAGATAGCGAAGTTATAATGCCGGAATTTAATTTAAACTTAAAAGAAGAAAGCGAATCATAAAAATATGGATAAAAATATAGAAATCCTGTAGTAAGTGTATCAATAATAACTATTAATAATACTAAAAAAAATTGGTGTTGAGCTTCGAGTTCCAGTTATTTTTCGTCTCTTGGAACTTAAGAAAAAACACATATTTTGAAATTTTATTAGCATAATCAACAATTGATATTTCAAGCTAAATTAATTTCTTAAACTTTTGGAGATAAAAGCTGGCGTGTACATTTTATCTTTAATAGTGATCGAGTTATAGGTAATTGATCATAATTTTACCTGATTATGTAAATATTAAGTATCATATTTTAAGAACTATATCTTTTTCGAATAGAGACATGTTTTTTTGATGGCTCAACCTCCTGGCTACGACACTGTGATTAGAGCAGAAATAAATTTAAAAAAACAATAGAATGTTGTTGATTTTGTAGACAAAATGTGAATATTAACATAAACGTCACAAAAATATGTTTAATATACTTATGATAGCACCCCGCCGCCGTTCGCAATAAGATTAGGTAATGCATCGCTCTTAGGTAAGGCAGTATTGGTACTCAAGTATCTACTCGTTCTATTAGTTCCTAGACGTTATGCGTGACTTTTAGCGCTCTACGTGAGCTCTGCCAAAACTCAATATGTTACCCTTGTTGTGCTTCTAAGACGTTAATTTAGAGTAATTTATAGTAATTATATAATAGACTCGTATTTATTCTTAATTGTTCGAAAACTTGTTCGAACGTAGCTAATATTTACATAATATGATCAGCATTAAGTATACCGTCTAGTATATAAGTATCAATAAATATTAATAGTGTTATATTATACAGTATTTCACTGAAAGATATATTACTTTTCTGTTTCTGTTTTTTTATCTCATTGATTTTATACAATAGATGTTTTACAGTGTTTATTTGAAATCAAATATTTTGATGTATTTTGTAGGAGAATATAAACAATACGAAAATCGATTATAAACGTAAAAATTGTATAAACGCTTATTCAAAATGATTTATCTGTTGCTTAGCACCCGACGGTCTAAGTCAACTAATTTTACAACATATGAGTCATATGACTTCTCCTTTTGGAGATATATTAAAATAATGTCTACCTACGTACTATCGTAATTACTATCAACCTAAAAAATACTAAAAAAATCGATCGAGTCAATTACAATAGACATGTCGGAACAACGAATTTAACTTGTTCATTATTAAATTTTATTTGTATTGCTAAAGTAAGTCATAAAGAACTTATAAATATAAATTCCATATTAAAAAATTTAAATATTATTATATAATTAACAAATGTATAATTTATAATTTTAAACCGAAAAACTTGAAGTATAAAAGAAGCATTTCAAACTGAATGAATTATTTTGAATAACCTTTTACTATTAAACTACACAAAAGTATAATTTAAATAGATTTGCAATAGTCACATAAATCATAAATTTGGCTAAAAAAAATGATTTTTAAATTAAAACTTGCCCACACCAAACACGATTAGCGTTATACTTCTATGAATACCATGTAAGTATTCAAGAAATAAAATAAGAGCAACGATCGACTTTTTTGTTCATTATAATTTTGAACCATAAGACACCTTTGTACAATAACCTTAATTTTATGAGAAACTTAGACATTTGGAAGACAAAAAACAATTGTTCCATTCACAAATTTTGATTGATTTTGACAGATTGTTTTTATAACTTCAAGTAACTTTATTTATTGTTCTATATGACTTCATAGCATTCGTTGTTATGTTCAAGTATTTGTAATATAACTTTAAATATAAGATAGTCTCTACCTGTAAAGACATAATTAAATGTCAAACTTTATTTTATAATAATTAATATTTATATTTGTGATTGTAATAACTTATCGTTACTGTGCAAAATTGCATAAAGATTTCAAAATTATTATTTATAGACAATATGACAAACTTGTTTTATACAAAATTAAATTAATTTAAAATACTAAAATGTATTAAATTTACACCTTAATCAGTTAAAATAGAAAATATGCATTATCTTAATATTTATAAATAATCAAAGTTTCAATCAAAGTCTAAATTGCAATTAATTTCAAAAACAATACTAATAATAAAAAATTGGTTTCAATACTCAAGACACACTTTTTAAAATGTTAATAAATAACAATAGTACAGAGTGAATAAATAAATAACAATAAATTAAAATAAATGTAAATTAGTAGATGTATAATACTACCTATATATGTATTACGTACAAACGTTGTTTGAATAAATATTTTATTGTTTTAAATAACTGATGAATTTAAATTATTTTATTCTAAACGTCAAATTATTTTAAAAATAAACTAAAATAAAATATATCAAAGTTTAATAATAAGTATGCAGGTATTTAATTCTAAGTATATAAATTATTTACTAAAAAATAGAAAAACAATCAACCGATTTAAATGATAGCGTTTAAGAATTATGTTTATTAAAATACAATAATTTAATTGACGCGAAAAACATAAAACAATCACGTGCAAGATGAGTTCTTTGGAAAAATTAGGTTATTGAAAGCTATTTGAACAATTCACTTGAAATACAAATTAGTAATTTAAATTAGATAAGAAATTTAGATAAAGTTAAGTTTAAAGTATCAACAGACGATGGTTGATGGGTTATTACTTAATTAGGTTATTTCATTCAAGAGACTATAAGTGTATTAAAAGCAATAAGACATGTAGTAAATAACTAAAAATAAATAAATAAATTAAAAATTGCAGCTTATAATAATTTTATTTAAATTTAATAGTTTTAATTATTTTATTTGATTATCAAAAAAATTATTTATTTCTATGCATGAAATCATATTATTTTTGTCGTGAAAAAGTACATAATTGAAATTACATTTTGATTAATATATAATACATAGATATTAATTTCAGAATTCAAATATTTACCTGCAGTTTAAAACATTTTTTTTTTTTTATATATATATATAGAAATATTGAAATATTCTGAATGCATTCTAGCAATATATAAAACTACATTTTCGGGACATTATTTCTAGTAAATAAAATTAGAAAGTGTATTAATAAAATAATAAATGATATGTATAATTATTTAATAAATATATACAGTAGAAGCCGCTTATTAGAAACACTTTGTGATCAAGGTGAAATGTATCGATTAATCGATTGTTTCTAATAAGCGATTGAAAAGAAATGAATAATAACCGGAAAATAAAAGTGTGTATGTTTACTTAATTATGTATGCATATTGTATAATTTAAAAAAGTATGTACAAACATATATATTTTACTATATTATTTAAAATATTTATCAATCGAAGTTTGTTTTTTCGCGTCGATTAACTTCATGACTATATTTTTATACGATTAATATTGCCCCTTTAGCTTTGTCACTTTTAAGTGCATATGTGTGTTCAGGTAGAGCTTTAAAATTAAGCACAGTCTCGTCCGCATTGAAAATATCAGAGGGTGAGTATTGGGCTAGCAAATCGGTCCAATGAGTTTCAAATCACGATTGGCCGCACAAAAATCAGTTTAAATCTTGGCGTTTAGATATTTTAAGATTTTTAGTAAAACGAAACACTAATCACCTTTACGTACGTATGCACGCCGAAGCTGAACTACAAACGGTACGTACAGAAAGAGCATTCTTGCGATGGAGTACAGTAAAAATAAACGTAACGACAGCAAAGATAAGATTAAAGTACACTGGTTGTTGCCGGATAACCAGTGTAGGTATATGTCAACTGACCTTCGCATAATTGTTCAAATAATAACCGATGTGATTTTTCAATAATCCGATTTATTTTCCGTGTTCTAATATACGGCCGATCCATCCCGAGGCATTTTGATACAATAACGCGTTTGTATCAATTATCCGTGTTCCAAATAAGCGGCTTCTACTGTATGTATTACATTAGCATAACATATAGGTACATTTTGACCACAAGTGTGTGTGTGTAAAAAAAAGCTATAACAATGTTTAGAAAATAAAATCAATAGAACACTAGGATGTGACGCACACGGTAAATATTTATGCCTAACATTTTGTTGAACAAAATAACGATGTGGATCGAGGAATATGATTCATTGAATTACAATCATTGAGCTTATTGGACGTCGTATTTAAAGGTCGAGTTTATACGCTCAAATTGTATAAATATGAAATCATGTTACGGTTGAATTAATTTAATAATGATTAAAAGATGTTGGTTCCATAGGAAATTGAATTAAAGTTTTAAAAAATTCAGTAATTTATTAAAAAGGTTTATTGGTCAACGATAAAACAATATATTAATATATATGTGTGTGTGTGTGTGTGTGTGTGTGTGTGTGTGTGTACCTATGTGTGTTTACAGAGTACAGATACAACGCACGAGTTTATTATTCAAATGAGAATTTCGAGTTAATTTTTTCGACATCGGTTCAACTGATTTCATTTGTATATACAAGTAGAAATATGACGATAATTTATCGTATGAATATCAGCTAGAGTTCATCATTGATGTTTAATGCACATAATATATTAATATGTTAATAATACATTATACTCTGCTCATTGTATGGACTGTGTATAAAACTAGCAACTGTGATTTCACACATATGCGGTTTTTATAGTTGATATGCAATTTCCTGTATTCTAAATAAACGTGCCCGAATTATAAGATATTTTTTAAAAACTTATTATACAATTCAATACAGTATATTCGATTCTAATATTAAAAAAAAATATAATCGTAACACCAGTGATGTAGAATAAATAAATAATTAAACAGTTAAAAATTAAATTTACTATTTTCGTGTATGTACTATGTATATTATTATTATGCTTTTTACTATATTTTACTCGATGACACACTTAATAATATTATTTCGTAATACTAGATAAACCTGTTTCAATATTAGACGTAAATCAAAAGTCGTTTTACAGGCTAATTAACACTACACCAGGAAGTACGACTATGGTCGATCAAAATTCAGGTAAATGCGTTTTGTTTTTATTTTAGTTTCACAGCCGCACAAAATCCGTTTCAATTGAAACTTAAGTTGGTAATTTATTATTAATGTTTACAGTAGAAGATATAATTCGAAAAATCTCGTATCGAAAAAATTCCTATAGGTAAAACGTGTTAAATTGAAAATGTTACTTAGATGTTATAATACACGTGGTTTATAGAGTTTAACATAATATTTCCATTTCTACGGCTTTGCGGTTCAACGAACTATTATGTATTGCTCTTTATGTATTAATGAAAATAACTTTTGATTGATTTTATTTTCATTCTATTTTTTTTTTATTTTTTTTTTTTTTTGACAAATTATTTCAACTAACTTCCGTTTACTCTACCATTTGAATAGTAAATAAGATTTTTTTCATAATACGAATCTTCAATAATGAATGCTAATGTATTCAACTTTACAGTTTAATAGTAGTTTTGAAAAATTCAGTTAACATGACGATAAGTTTCACTAAATCGTTTGCTTAATGTAAACAAATTTGTTAAAAGTTTATGTTATAAAAAATGAGGTATAATCAATAAAAAGACGAATTTGCAATTAACGCTGATTAATGATATGAACAAAATAATAACAACAGCAAAAACACCTATTAAGTTGATTACACTCGATAAACCTATAACTCAAACAAAAATAAAGGGTTTTTGTTATGATTTTTTTCATTATTATCACTTACTAAAATAAAACACAGTGCACATACAAGTTTTCAATACATATTATCATCAATATGACTATTATGACTTATATTTAATTAATTAAACTACTAACTGTATTGTAGCTGTATACAATAAAACGATTAATACTCGTTAAATTATTTATCAACTATCATAAAAATAATAAAACTTTTAGATGTGTCACAAATTAATATAATAACCTTAGGGAACATATATCTGCAAAATATAGGTAGTTTTTGACCGAAAACCGGTATACTTGGAAATGTGGCTTCGAGTGAAACCAAGTTAACCTTAGTCAACAATCGTTCAGTTGTATAACTTGTTAGATTTGTTTTAAATCCACCGTGTATTTGTACATGGCCATAGATATACAGTTCATCATGTACATTTCAACATATAGGCGTATTAATTTTAATGTAAGGATAATACAATGTCAATTAAACTCTAGGACAAATATGTCATAAACGTAGAAACTTGAAAACACACAACCCAAAAGAGAAAATATCATGTTTACTAAAAACATTTAACTCGAATTAATTATACTGATTTGGCAAATATGGGCTACTTACACAAAACTCAAACACATCAGTGGTTCAGTGCTACTGTGTAATACTATATACTTCATTGAATTGCGACTAGAGGAAATATTAAATCACTATAAGTACAGTATTGCACAAAATATTATACATATTGACGAATAACTAAGTTTGTTAATATTTGTCTTAATAGAAAAACGTAAGAGGATTATTTTGAAAAACCATATTATATTGATTTTATAACTATGATAATTCCATTGCGTATTTACTTTATTACAGTGGCACTAACTCTAATATGAAATGTACGTTCAATAAAAAAAAAAAGACGAGAACTTGACCAGTCTGATTTTAGTATAAAATGAAGAAAATTATTTAAAATATAAGAATATCTATATATTAATATCATTTTTATGTTAATATGTCACAAACATACTTATGTGATTTAAATTTTATTTTTTTATATAATATTATACATATTACATACTTTGACAATGTTAACATAAAATAAAACAAAAATTATATACCAATTATTTTATTTTTTACATATATTATATAAAATTTTGTTTTGGTCGAAAAGTGAATCGACCGAAAAGGGAAGAATATGATTTTGGTCGAAAACGGCCATGTCTACGTTATAATACTATAGATGTCCTAGTGTAGTAATGACGATTACTCGGAAATTCCCAAAATAAATACCTCATTAGCCTGCATAATTAATTATCCGCATGTATTTTAATTATCATCGACACATTAAAAATCGCATGTATGCACGCGTTAATCGGAACTATATACATACAACAAAAAATGGAAGTTTTCAAATATGTTAAAAAATTCGTGGATTTTACAATACAAGAACGACATTTAAACTACGCGTAGGTATAGATATTACGTAAACTGGTATGTTTTATCATTAAAACATATTATATACGCATACATTTAAAGCAATCATCTGTAGTAAATAAATTGTTATTTTACAGGAAAGTCGATTATTATTGCAGTGCTATTCCATATAATATTAATTATCATATTGCATCTTATTATTAACAGTGGCAACGTGAGAAGGGTTGAAATTCGGGTCCGGAACCCGGTCTAGAATGGATCGAATGTAAAATTAATCGAAAATCGAAATTTTTAATTGCCTCTATTTTTATTGAAAAGATAGTTGCAAAAATTGGTGCGGTATTTTATGTAACCGACCGGTAGCATCGGTTGGTAGAACGGTTTTGGATTCTATAATAATTGTTTTTTCACTACGATAATATTATCATATAAACATTTTCTATGTGAATATTTTACTTCGATACGTCGTTATAGGCAGGTTTCACACGAATTCGTTAGATACGTCGGCCCGAATTCCGATTAAAAACATTTTAGGAAAACTGCTTGTCGCGAAAACACAACAGTAGTCGTCAGGAATGTATTAATATGACACACGTCTCGCGTTATATGACTCCGGTCTCCGACGATAATAAATAATAATAAATCTAATCGTTTTGAATGCGCGCCATAATAATAATTATAATAATCGTTACAACAGTCTACTCGCGGCGGCGTTTTCGGTCGCGATAATATTATTGTTCCGCGTGCCCTCATTATTAATACATCGTGATGCTGTTATTATAAAATGTATGTATATTATATTAACGCGTCTATCTATTTAATATCATAGACGTAACTCGAGGGGAGGGGGAGAGCGTTGAGATAAGTTTGAGGTCGACTGAGAATTTCTCGGTAAACTTGTCAACGGGTAATATAAATAATTGTAAACGCCGTTTTTTACCATTCGATTAAAAAAAAGGGAAAAAATTCTAATCATATATTTACGCACGTTGCGAAAAAATCGAAGAAATACGTTGTACATTTCAAATGAATTACACATCTACGCGAAGCTGACGCCCGTGTCGTAATGTTGTGTCGGAAAACCACCAAAATTCAGGACCTCAGTCCTCGCTGTCCCGTCACGACCGACAACAGATTGCAGGCCCTATAGAGTGACGTCTCTACACAACCGCCGACGAGAGAGAACGATGAAATCAATCGCAATACACGACGATTGGCGGCGATCAAAAAAAAAAAAAAGCAAACGGTTTGAAAATAAATTCTATATAATAAGTAGAGCAGCCGATGACGCGTACCACCGTTACAATGTAATGTGACTTACTTGAGGTCTCTGGGAGCGGTGCGGTACACCAGGTAGACGAATTTGTAGCCGCCACTGGCGATGTACGCGATGATCGCGACCGCGACGACTTGCAACAAGAACGGCAGGCCCATAGTGTACCAAACGAACGCGCACGTCACAATGAACGCCGCTGCGACGACGACGACTTTTACAGCGACGCACACCGCTCCGTACGCCCTGCCGCGGACTCTGCCACCTGTACTTTCACTACTGCTGTTGCCGCCGCCGCCGCCGCCGTCGCCACTACCACCACCGTCGAGTCGCTGGTTGCCGCCAACACCGTCGTCGGTATTGTCGCAACAATTATTGCTGTTCCGGGCGGCGTCCGGGTTGCCGCTGCTACCGCCGTGGCCGTCGTCGCCTCCGCCGAGACCTGCAGCGACTCCTCTCGGCAAACCTTTTTCGACGTCCCACTCCTGTTGAACAACAACGATAACGATACACATAATATAGTAACTTTATGTATTATTATTATAATATCAGGTAGGTATTTAGGTATTATATTGTGTCATCTGCGACGCGAACTTATGCGATACAAATGCGCGCTGCGCTCGTGCAGCAACAGGGAATTTATTTTATTCGACGGCGAAAGATTTTTGAGGGAAAACGAAAAAAAAAAAAAATGAGATAAATTTTAAAAACTGTTCACGCTCAGCGGTAGCGCTAGGCGGGATTGAGGAAATCGGACTGTTGAACAATTTTCAAGCGTTTTTTTTCTATATTTTTTTTATGAAATCACTATAATACAATCTTTTGAAATAAAAGATTTCAAATTTTACACCGCATAAAATGTGTATAATTTAACAATTAATTATACCGAAGAAGTAGGTGTAATTCACAAAGCGTTACACAGATTTTAACAATACATGCACAAAGTATAAAATGGTACGAATAAAAAATAAATACTCTATTTTTACATCACTATACGTACACTAATGAAGCGATCATATTATTATCGGCAAATTTAAACGTTTCAAACATTGTTCTTATTTTTTTTGTCTAAACGACGACATGCGATTTTAATATTATAAAATAATATTCTGAAGCAGAATGTTTTTCTCACGATTTCTTTGATATATATGTATTATGGGAAGTACTTGTTTAATATTATGATTATATTATATAATTTATATAAACTGTAGGCATATAAGCAGAAACCAAAATTATAAGCGTTCAAACGAAAATATGCTAAAGAAAAATAATTGAATATGTTAGTGCATTTAATATTTCATACTTCATAATAAATTTAATAAAAATGTTATTTTTTACACCACTAAACTTTTTAATATTTACAAAATAATTCAAATAAATAAATTTAAAAACAAACTTTTAATAAATTCAAATGTTAATTGATTTTTTCTCCAATTAAATAGATTTATGATTTATCATAAGAGGGATCGGATTGAAATCTCAACACACTCCCTTAGACCCACGCATTATTTAAAGTCAACATTTTCTGTGTCTGTAAATTGACTATTTTTTTTTTAAATTTTAAAGCAACATATGAGCATTTTTAAATTATAATATTCTACATAACTATCACAACTTGCATAAAAACTATTGAAATATCGTAAAATATTTAACATACAAAACAGATAATGTTCTTAACTTAAAGTTTGATTATAACTCAATATGTTTTAATGATATTAAAGATATCATCACGAAATTGGTTCTGTTGAATACAAATTTTCTATGTTGCACGTGAGTCAATGAAAGAAAACAAACGGTGCGTGAATATACTTTTAAATTAGATTATTTAATTAATTTCACCTTAAATATGCAAAATCAAATGTACATTTACGACCCAATAAGTAATAATAATCCTCCAAATATATAAATTAAAATTTGGTGTGATATAAACATTCTACATTTTGAATCGCGTGTATACAGCACATAATCCAACACGCAAATACGTATATAATTTCGAGTGTACCAGCAAACTGTTAGTGCATTACTCTATCCAATTTACTAACTAATACGAGTATAAATTATTACATTTATTACAAAGATTATTAATTTAATGCTAATAATGATTATTTATTAAACATTATAGATTCTACTATTATATAGTAGACATATTATATAATAGATAAATTATAAATTATATACTTGATCTATTTTATCGTAATTATAATTTTAAAGTTCAGAAAATAGTAAAATAAATAAATAATATTTGTGATATTTTTAATAAAATATATAAGAGTATATTATAATATTATGTAATTAAATCAACGTAATTTACAATTTCTAATTCCATTAGTTTTAAATTAAAGCAGTAATTGTTTGTGCGGTACTATATGATGTATTTATAAGATTCATCAGTTATTTTAGTTTACATTTATAAACCAATTAAGAAACATTTTTAAAAATTAATTATATATAGACATATAATTGTGAATATTCTTTTTTTTTTTAATTGAGGACGTTCATATTTATGGAATAATTTATATGCGTATCATTTAATTTTTAAAGTTTTTTATTTATAACATTTAAAGTGTTAAAAACTTCTACATAGTATTTACTCATTAGTAATAATTAGTAATAGCTATACTATATATAACATTAATAACTACATGAAATAAAATTCTATGTAAAAATATTAATATTTGTAAAAACAACCAACTTTAATGTAATTAAAAAAACGGACACGATTTAGAAAAAATGAACCTTAATTTAATTTTGTACACATTTTTTATGTGGGAATGTTCCAAAAATGTTGTGAATACATATTTTAAATTGGATATATTTTAAAGTGTTATTTAAGAGAGGTCATTTTCACAAGCAATGTAAAGTTTTTATATATAATTAAATATAGAAAAAATTAAAAATGTAAAAAATAGTTAAATTTATAGTATACTAGTTTTAACAAAATCAATTTTTTTAATTTTTTTGTTGTAATATTGCACCTTGATTAATATCAATGCTATAAGAACTTATAAATAACCTTGTATTACAATTTTTAGTTTTTTTGACTAAAAATATTTGATGATTTTAATGTATACAAAAATATATATTATCTATTAAGTGATAATTTAAGTAACAATTAATGATTTATAAGAGTTTTATTTTTTGAATTGCAATAAAATAATAAAAAAAATTTAAATCGTTATTTTACGTTTGAATTTTATCAACAGTTAAATTTCAAACGCTCATAAAAAACAAATGTAACACAAATACACAAACATTTTTTTAGATATAGATGATAAAGAACCTTCTACTGCATTATCACGCCTTTGATATTAACATTGAAACATTTTATAAATTTTAAACTACAGAATAAATTTAAAAATGTTCGTGATTGAATTTTTTTCAAAAAATAAGTTTCAAACTTCATAACCTAAAAATAAACCATGAAAGTGTATTTTTAATAACTGAAAGAATATTAATTACGAGTAACCTTGTTTGAAATTCCCAAGTTTTTGTACGTATAAAAACTATTTTTACCAATACAAATCGAAAACAAACTAAAAAAAGTAAACATATAAAATATCTATAATACATTTAAAATTATATGAAATTATGATTTCAAGGTTATCTACGTATTTCAAATATATGATAATTTATTTTAGTAATTTAAAATACTGGAACAAAAAATAAAATCGATGTAAGTAGGTATAGTCGAAAACTGACGTCCATAATTACGTTTTATTTTTAGTTTTCCTTAGTATTTTAAAAAGCATTGATAATTTTTAGTTTTAATTAAATTTATTTTGCTACAAGAAACCACTATCACAGTTAAAGATTGAAAATATTTTACTACTTCTAAATGTGACGTACAAGCATACACAAAAAAACAATACATCGTTAAAAAAAAATGATACATTCATCGGTCCACCCAGAAGTAAGAAACTACTTATATTGTTAGTACCTATAACCTTATTGTTTTTTTTTTAACTTTCAAAAAATTTTAATTCTAAAATTAAATTTCAAATCAGTTTATCTAAAATAAGCAGTAAGATTTAAAAAATTTTTCTGTACAATTAAAATTGTTATAACTGACCTTCATTCAAAGCTCTGATTTATTATTGTTTCAAAATGGAGGTACACTAGATACAGGTAATAAAGCACCAAAGTGAGACATAAATAGAATGAGTACCTAACATCCGTGATCATTATATAATGAATAGTTTACAGTTCCATATTAAAATCTTCAAAATTGAATTCCCAACTAAAAAAAAAAATCTAATGATAAAATAATTAAAAATATTTTTAAAAAGTTAAGTTTCTATAATAGAATAATAAAATCCCTTATGGAATTATTTGATTATCTCAATTAACGTGGTAAAATAAATCAAAACCTATCAAACAGATTTTCAGTTTTTAGAAAACAAAAGCAGTCAATTTCAAAAATATACTTTAACAGTATTGAGTATCGTAACACTGATATATAAATTGTTTATGAAAAAAAATTATATTTTATTATATAAATATTGAGTTCATTTTACCCACATGCATAATAATATTGATAATGAAAAAAAAAAAAATTATACGAATCGTTTAAAAAATAATACTGTAGAAACGAAATATAATCATAATATTATAATACAGTGCAGCGGTTCTCAAACTTTTCCCACTTACGGCGCATTTTTTGGACTAAGATTTTCTCAAGGCGCTTTTTTTTAAGTCAAAGCACAATATATGACAACAAATAAATGAAAATTAGAAAACAATTGTAATGAATCATATAGATTTATATTTTAATTTATTAAAATTAAATTTTTTTTTTTTATAAATAAAACATTTTAGTTGTTTTTCTGACATTAAAAAATAATATTAATGAGATAAGTGAGTTTGCACGTCATCGAAAAATTTTGAGAATCTTGGAATTAAACTAGATATCTACTAGATATTTGGTTTTCAAATTTATTTTTAGACAAGACCAAATTCAAGACGGCGGTCTTTTTGCTAACAACGCGGCTCACCAGGGAACCGCTGATGTAGTGTGTAATAAGTTTACCAAAATGCAGCGACGAGAGTGCATACCTGTCTATGCCATAAACCTAGATTGCGTTTAAATTTTCCAAGTTGTAAATCGTATAGAATACCGGATCCGGCGTCGGTACAATAATATTATTAATATTAATATTATCGAGAGTGGATAAATTGTTATAAAAATGTAAGTTAGTAATTTCCATTGAGTATATATATATATAGTATATAATATAATATATATACACAATAGTAATACGTATTAGCATTGAGTAAATTATATACTCAATGGTATTAAGATAATAATGAACTTACAGGCGCGAGCACACGCAAACATACACGACAGTGACTGTTGGTCGGCGTGTGTATGTTATGTGCGGCGCTATAATAATACTGCTGTAGTTTGTTCGTCGTTGTTCATTTTGTTGATTAATTACTACCTATCACATAAATTGCCTCATCTACACCACTGTTTCCAAATTAGACG